TGGGCACGGGGGTGTGGGGCAGGGTGAGGGGTGCCGGGGAAGGGAATTTGGGGACAGGGTTACCTGGGCTCCTGTGACAGCAGCGGTGGCCGAGCACGGCCGTCCCCAGGAGAAGGGCGGTGCCCCCCAGGCCCCCCAGGAGCGGCCAGAGCAGCGCTGCAAGCACAGCCCGCCAGGGTCACCCCGGCCCCGGGACACCGACACGGGGCTGGAGGGCGCAGCAGGGACAGCGGGGACACGTTTACCTGCCTGATGTCCTCCGAGAGCTGCTGCGGGGAGGGGAAAGAGTCAGAGATGTCCCTGTCCCTGTCCCTGTCCCTGTCCCTGTCCTGTCCCTGTCTCTCCTCAGTGTGGCCACCCAAAACCCCCCAGGATTCTCCCCCAAGGGACCCCACCCGCCCTGCTGGTGACCCTCACTGACCCCCCAAGCCCCTCAGAGGTGCCACCTCCCCGTGCCCTCCTGCCCCCCGCAGTCCCAGCAGTACCGGGAGCCCCGGGCAGTCCCAGCAGCCCCGGGCAGTACCGGGAGCCCCGGGCAGTACCGGGAGCCCCGGGCAGTCCCAGCAGCCCCGGGCAGTACCGGGAGCCCCGGGCTGCCCCGGGCAGTACCGGGAGCCCCGGGCAGCCCCGGGCAGTCCCAGCAGCCCCGGGCAGTCCCAGCAGCCCCGGGCAGTACCGGGAGCCCCGGGCTGCCCCGGGCAGTACCGGGAGCCCCGGGCAGCCCCGGGCAGTCCCAGCAGCCCCGGGCAGTCCCAGCAGCCCCGGGCAGTACCGGGAGCCCCGGGCAGTCGCGGGCAGTACCGGGGGTGACGCGGAGCTCGGTGCCGTTGCCGGTGGCGGTGCCGTGCCGGGGGATCTCGAGGGTCACCCTGCAGACGTAGCTGCCGCTGTCGTTGCCCCGCACCTGCGGGAGGCTGAGGGTGGCCCGGGGGGGGTGCCAGGCCAGCTGCGCCCCCCGGGCACGGCAGGGACAGGGGAACGGGGACAGCGGGGTGCCAAAGCGCAGGCGGGTGGCGCAGAGCACCCCGAGCCCCCCGCCCCTCACCCACTCCATCCGCAGCAGGGCCCCCCCCTCGGCCACCTCCACCTGGCACGCCAGGGCCACCGTGTCACCCGCTGTCACCTGCAGCTCGCCCGGCTCCTGGGTCACCCGCAGGGCGCCCGCTGTGGGGACAGCCCCGGGGTCACAGGGGGATGGATGGAGCCCCCACAGCCGGCGGTTCCCCAGGACCCCCGTGGGGTGGGGGACGGGGACGCTCCAGGCTCGCTGCTCACCTCTGTCACCTCTGACCACACCCTCCATCCTGTCCCCCTGCCACGGCCGCGTCACCCACCTCTGTCCCCATGTGTGTCCCTCCCTCTGTGTCCTCAGCCCCTCTCTGGTCTCCCCCTCAGGACAGATGTCCCCCCTCACCCCAGCTGTCACACAGCCTGAGCCCTGTGCCCCCCCAGTGTCCCCTGGGTGGCCTGTCCCCAACCCCACAGCACAGCCACAGGGTCCCAGGCACTGTCCCCACTCAGCCTTGTCCCCCACTCACCTCCAAGGAGGGGGATGAGGACCCTGAGCTGCCACATCCCCCCTGCGGGGCCAGCCCAGCCCCCCCCTCCGAGGGGCCGTGTCCCCGGGGGGGTCTCAGTCCCCACGCTGTCCCTGTCCCCAAAGCGCCACTGTCCCCAAAGCCTCCTAGCCCTGCGTCACCCGTGACACTGTGACACTGTGACACTCTGACACTGTGGCTTCCGGCCCTGTGGTACGGGTGAGGTGACAGGGACAGAGAGCGGGACCAGAGTGGGGGCAGAGATGGGGACGTGGGTGGGGGCTGGGGACGGGGATTGGGGCACGGATGGGGCAGAGGTGGGGATGGGGACAGGGAGGGGGAAAGGGACTGGGATGGGGACAGGGATGGGGACAGGGATGGGGACAGGGATGGGAACAGGGATGGGGACAGGGATGCAGGAATGGAGACAGGGATGGGGACAGGGATGGGGACAGGGATGGGAACAGGGATGGGGACAGGGATGCAGGAATGGAGACAGGGATGGGGACAGGGATACAGGACACCATCCTGAGCAAGGACAGGTGACAGCACATCCTCAGGCTCCACCTTGATCCTGGAACCGCTCCAGCCTGTGGAGGAGCCCCGTGGGGACCTCCTGTGACCCCCCCAGAGCAGGGGGACCCCTCCTGCCCCCCAGGGTGGCCTGGGGCGTTCAGGCTTCCTGGGCTGGGACCCCCCCACGCACTGTGACAGTGTCCCCACCGCCCCCCCCGGGGTGACAATGTTCCCCCCCTCCCCTCGCCCCTAGCCCTGACCCGGCGCCCCCCAACCCGCGGCCGGCCCGGAATGGGAGACCAGGTACGGCCCGAGCCCCCCGGGACCGGCAGGGCACCGGGACACCGAGGGGGAACCGGGAGAGGGAGAGTGAGGGGATGGAGCGGGGGGGATGGAGGATGGAGAGGGAGGGATGGAGGGAGAGGGGATGGACGGGTGGAGGGAGGGATGGAGGAGGGAGGGATGAAGAAGGAGAGATGAAGGAAGAAGGGCCCGAGGGATGGAGGAAGGAGTGATGGAAGGAGTGGGGATGGAGGGAGGAAGAGGAAGGAAGGGATGGAGGAAGAGGGGATGGAGGGATGGGAAAGAGGGAGGGAGGGAGGAAGGAAGGGATGGAGGAAGAGCGGATGGAGAAGGAGGGATGAGGAGCGCAGGTGTGGAGGATGCAGGGCTGAGGGGCTCAGGGTGGCCCCGGAGGAAGGAGGGGCACGGCGGGCAGCGGGGCTCGGCACTGGCACACTCACACTCACTCACTCACACTCACACACTCACACTCACACTCACATTGCCAAGTCATCGCCCCGCCATGCCGGCTGCCCGCGGTGCCCGGCACGGCCCGGCACGGCCCGGCACGGCCCGGGGGCAGCGGGAAAGCCGCGGGCACTGACGGCCGCTGCAGGGCGCCGGGCAGGAATCTCTGCGCAAGATCATCACCACCCTGGCCGTGAAGAATGAGGAGATCCAGAACTTCATCTACTCCCTCAAGCAGATGGTCCAGAACGTGGAGGTAGCCCCGGCCCCCGCCCCCCGGGCCCCGGGCCGGGCCCGCTCGGCTCAGGCCCCGCTTGTGCCCAGGCCAACTCGGCGCGGGCGCAGCAGGACCTGGAGGCCGAGTTCCAGTCGCTCTACGCGCTGCTGGACGAGCTCAAGGAGGACATGGTGATGAAGATCAAGCAGGAGCGAGCCAGCCGCACCTACGAGCTGCAGGTGAGCCCCGGCCCGCAGCTTCCCCCGGCACGGAGCCCCCCAGCCCGGAGCCCCCTCTGGCCCGGAGCCCCCCAGGCCTGAAGCCCCTCCTGGCCCAGAGCCCCCCATGGCCTGGAACCCCCCCCATCCCGGAGCNAGCCCCTGGAGCCCCCCCGGCCCCTGGAGCCCCCCCAGCCCCTGGAGCCCCCCCCGTTCTGGAGCCCCCCGGCCCCTGCAGCCCCCCGCTGCCCTGAGCCCTCCCTCCCGGGCAGGCCCAGCTCAGGGCGTGTTCCAAGGCCCTGGAGAGCTCCGAGGAGCTGCTGGAGACGGCCAACCAGGCCCTGGGCACGGCCAACCACCAGGACTTCTCCCAGGTGGGTCCCCACGGTGCTGGGGGTGGCCCTGCCTGGCTGTCCCCACCCTGGGGTGTCCTGACCCCCCCTTGCCACCCGCTGGATGCCACCCCGGGCTGGGCACCCCCTTTCTCTGTGCTGGGCTGGCTGTGCCTGGATGGGAGCGGGGTGAGCCCAGGGCCCCCCGGCTGCTGACACGGAGGGGCACCATGGCAGGGGCACGGGGGGCACACAGGATGCTGTGCCAGGGGTGCTGAGCCAGGTGAACCACTGAGGGATGCAGGGATGCTCTGGCATGCTGTGGGGTGCAGGGATGTTCAGGGGTGCTCTGGGATGATCTGCAATGCTCAGGGATGATCAGGGATGCTCTGGGATGCAGGGATGCAGGGATGCTGTGGGGTGCTCTGGGATGCTCTGGGGTGCTCTGGGATGCTGTGGGGGGCAGGGTGCTGTAGGGGGCAGGGTGCTGTAGGGGGCAGGGATGCTGTGGGGTGCAGGGGTGCTGTGGGGTGCAGGGATGCTGTAGGAGGCAGGGATGCTGTGGGGTGCAGGGTGCTGTGGGGTTCTCTGGGATGCTGTGGGGTGCAGGGTGCTGTGGGGTGCAGGGATGCTGTGGGGTTCTCTAGGATGCTGTGGGGTGCTCTGGCATGCTGTGGGGGGCAGGGATGCTGTCCCTGCTGGGTGCCACAGCTGCTGCAGGTCCTGCATGTGCCCCCTGTGCCCGGCTCTGCTGCCTCACTGCTGCTTCTCTTCTCTTTCCCTCTGCGCTCACAAGGCGGCCAAACAGATCAAGGATAGGTACGGCCCCCCGAGCCCCCCACCCACTAACCCCTGCTACTCCTCCTCCTCTTCCTCTCCTCCTCCTCCTCCTCCTCCTCCTCCCAGCCAGGGCCCCACAGGGGTGGTCCCAAGGTGCTGGGGTGGTCCCAAGGTGCTGGGGTGGCCCTGTGGGTGTGGGGTGGCTGTGCCCACCCTCCCCGGGGCCAGGCAGGGCAGGGGGGTGCCCACCCCCCCTGAGCCCTGTCCCCTGTCCTGGCACAGTGTGACGATGGCTCCGGCCTTCCGCCTGTCGCTCAAGGCCAAGGTCAGTGACAACATGAGCCACCTGATGGTGGATTTCGCCCAGGAGCGGCGCCTGCTGCAGGCCCTGGCCTTCCTGCCAGGTACTGCCAGGGCAGGGGGGCACGGGGGACAGGGCAGGGCACGGCCAGCCTGGCACCGGGGCGGGCGTCACAGGATGGGGCAGTGCCAGGCCTGGGGTGCCTTCCCGGAGGGGCAGGAAGGTGCCAGGGATGGGGGCGGGGATGAGGGGTTGGGTGCTGTGCCCAGGGGAGCAGTGGGGGCCGTGCTGGGGGTCTCTGGGTGCCACGGGTGGGGTCCCCAGGGATCCCACGGGTGCCACACCTGAGGTCTGTGATTTGCCGAGCCCGTGGGGTCTGGGGGAGCCCTGGGGGTGCCCGGGAGTGCTGGGGAACCCCTGTGTGGCAGGGAGGGGGGACACTGGCACGGCTGCTCCTGCGGGCAGTGCCCAGCGCCCCCGAGATCGACCTGGCGGAGTCGCTGGTGGCCGATAACTGTGTGACCCTGGCCTGGAGGATGCCCGACGAGGACAGCAAGATCGACCACTACGTGCTGGAGTACCGCAGGACCAACTTCGAGGGGCCCCCCCGTGCCAAGGAGGACCAGCCCTGGATGGTCATCGAGGGCATCAAGGGCACCGAGTACACCCTCACTGGTGAGGCACAGGGGTGCAGGCGGGCGCTGGGGCTGCCCCAGGCTCTGCAGGGGACACGGGGGTGGCAGTGCCCTCCCGGTGCCGCAGCCTGTGACCCCGCTGTGCCCGCAGGGCTGAGGTTTGACATGAAGTACATGAATTTTCGGGTGCGGGCGTGTAACAAGGCGGTGGCGGGCGACTTCTCCGAGCCGGTCACTTTGGAGACCAGAGGTGGGTGCTGGGGGTGGCAGGTGCCCGTGTCCCCCCCGTGCCAGCCCTGCGGGGTGCTGGCCAGGCACGGGGGGCCCGGGGCACTGCTGACAGGGGCTGTCCCCAGCGTTCATGTTCCGGCTGGACGCCAGCACGTGCCACCAGAACCTGCGGGTGGAGGAGCTGAGCGTGGAGTGGGACGCCACGGGCGGGAAGCTGCAGGACGTCAAGGCCCGTGAGAAGGATGGCAAGGGCAGGACGGCCTCCCCTGCCAACTCCCCTGCCAGGTAAGGCCACCCCCGGGCCCCCCACACGGCCCCCGGGCCGGGCAGTGCCAACCCTGCCCTGTCCCTGTGTGCCAGGGTGGTGCAGTCGCCCAAGAGGATGTCCCTGGGCCGCGGGGGCCGCGACCGCTTCACCGCAGAGTCCTACACGGTGCTGGGTGAGGGGGCACCCGGGCTGGGGTGGGGGCACCCAGGCTGGGGAGTTTGGGCACCCTGGCTGGGGTTTGGGCACCCTGGGTGGGGTTTGGGCACCCAGGGATGGGGGGGTTTGAGCACCCTGGCTGGGGTTTGGGCACCCGGACTGGGGGTTTGGGCATTAAGGGGTGTGGGGGTTTGGCACCCTGGGTGGGATTTGGGCACCCGGGCTGTGGGTTTGGGCACCCAGGCTGGGGGTTTGGGCACCCTGGGCTGGGGTTTGGGCACCTGGGCTGGGGGGTTTGGGCACTCTGGCTGAGGTTTGGGCACCCAGGCTGGGGGGTTTGGGCACCTGGCTGGGGTTTGGGCACCCGGGCTGGGGGTTTCGGCACACGGGAGTGTGCGGGGTTTGGGCATTAAGGAGTGTGGGGGTTTGGGCACCCTGGGTGGGGTTGGGCACCCAGGGGTGTGGGTGACGAGGGGGCACGGACTGAACAGAGCCCAGGGGGCGATTCGGGGGGCCAGGGGCCGCCCCCGGCGGGGTGGGCACAGCACGGGCACGCCGCGGGTGCCCGGGCAGAGCCGTGGCCGTGCCCCAGGGGACACCCTGATCGACGGCGACGAGCACTACTGGGAGGTGCGCTACGACCGCGACAGCAAAGCCTTCGGCGTGGGCGTCGCCTACCGCAGCCTGGGCAAGTTCGACCAGCTGGGCAAGACCCCCGCGTCCTGGTGCCTGCACCTCAACAACTGGCTGCAGGTCAGCTTCAGCGCCAAGCACAACAACAAGGCCAAGGCGCTCGACGTGCCCGTGCCCGACTGCATCGGCGTGCACTGCAACTTCCACGAAGGTGGGGCTGGGCTGGGATCAGATGGGATGGGATGGGA